GTGCTGGGGGGGGGGGCAGAGGTCCTTGCTTGGCTCTGGGCAGCTGCTGGCGTCCTGTCCCCTGCCGGTGCCCGCCTGCCTTTGTCGTTCTTTCCGTAGCGGGGCTGGCAAGAGGCAGCCGGGCGGCTGGGGTCACCTTGGGACATGGCGGCAGCGGCGGAAGAAGTGGTGGTGGTGGTGGTGGGGATGGGGAGAGTGGTGTGTGGGGCCCCCCTTCTAGGGCTTGGGGTGAGGATGCAAGCAAGGGGTTAGCCCCCACCGCTCCTTCTCCCATGCTCTGTTTCCACAGAAGAACTAGAAAGGCCTGGCGGAAGGGCACCTGAGCATGTGCAGAGTAATAACTGTGCTATAACACCTCTCAAGCAGGGTTCCCTCTAAGCTGAGTGAGTGTGAGCCAGCGCACAGTTTTTTAGCCTCCGGCGCACACATTTCTGTCTCAGCTCAGGAAGGATGGGGCTCCGGAGCACACTAATTTATGCAGGAGCCAAATCGCTCGCGCACAACTTTAACGCCAGGAGCTCACAAGACGCCACAGCTGAGAGGGGACATTGCTCTCTCAAGGCTGAGAAGAAAGAGGGTTAAAATTGTGTACTTGCCGCCCATTATGTGGGATCAGGCAGCGGGCTGGGAGGAAGGGAGTCCCGGTCCCCTCAGAATTCCCTGTGGGGCTCTGTGTTTGGAAGCCTCTGGCCTAGATGCTTCCCCCCAGTGCCCCCCTGGCTGTGGGTCCCACCCCTTCCCCGGGGGCTGGTGTAGGGGGTACCTGTTGGGGTCCCAGGGACTTTCTCCAGGCCCTTGCTGTGTTCCTGAGAGAAGTATTGACCCCCCCTTCCCGGCATCCAGGCTCCAGGGAATGCCCAGCCAGAGGGCGGTCTGTTCCAGCCCCTCCCCCCTTGCCATCTGCCCCACGTGATCCCCCACTCCTCCTTCACATGCAGCTGCTGGTGTGACCTTGGGGCAGTCACAAGTTCTCTCAGAACTGTTATCTCAAGGGCAGTCCTTGAAAGAGCTCTCTTAGCCCCACCTACCTCACAGGGGGTCTGTTGTGGGGAGGGGAAGGGAAAGGAGTTTGTGAGCCACTCTGGGACCCCTTCGGGTACTGAAGGGCGGGGTATGCATCCAATCTCCTTCTTCTTCTTCTTCGTTTGCCCTCCTGTGGTTTCCTGCCCTCTCTGTGTGCCCTGGGCTCTGCCATCGTACCCCTTCGCTGTCCAGACCTGTCTGGGGGTCCCGCCTCATGTTCTGGCCGAAGGGCTGTTGCCAGCTGGCAGCTATTGCCTCCCTTCACAGCCAAGGAGCAGCTCAGCAGGGCCCCCCAAAGAGGATCCCCCTTAAAGCTAAATTTAGCCCTGCAGAGGGGATCAGGCGGTGGCCGGACGGCTCCGGGATGGGCGGTGGAAGACAGAGGGGCGGGTGGTGGTGGAGGGTGTTGGGAGCTCTGCCTTGGCAGCGCTGTAGCCCAGTGGGCAGGATTAGCCAGAGCTTTGATCTGCCCGCCGCTCGCTCGGCTGCCCGCTCTTGCTCACTCGACATGCCAGGCCTGCTGTGCCGTGTCTGGAAGCCTCAGTGTGGCCGGCTCACCCCCCCCCCCCACTTACTGCAACAGGGTGTTTGGCGGGGGGATTGGTGGGACCCCCCCCCCATTGATGCCAGCGTGTGTTTGTGGGGTGGGTGTGTTGGTGTTTCAGGCCTGTGCCCTTGGCCCGTCTTGGAGGGGTGGGGGGTGGCCCCGCATCTCTCCTTGAGTGGCGAGGCTAGGTCAGTTGG